CCTCCACTCCAGCTGTCGATTCTGTTCGATTCTGTTCGCTTTGTCTCAGTTTATTTTCATCGTTCAACCTCGCCGGTTCAGCTGTGTCCGTTGTTTTTCAGTCGCCTAATTAAGCCCTTACCTGTGTTCAGATCGACGACTATTTCGGGGATTTTCGGTGAATTTATTTCGGTCCGTAATTAACGTGGACTTACCTGTCCGCCCGCGGCAATAGCATTAATAGCGTGACGCCGTCGTCAAAGTTGCCCTCCCAGCAAAAAAGGTGAGTAAACAATGCGAATGGGAAACCGCTTCGAAGATCGCCAATTGCCATTAAAACATGGGTGTTAGACGAAGAGAGAATGAGCGCATGTGAAAGCAGCAAGCATCGGAGAGAAGGAAAGAATAAAACTTAAGGGGGGCATTCTTGAATATTTTAGCCGATTAAACGTGATTTTGAATAGAATTTTACAATGATGATTACTTTGATAGCTCTCAGGAATTTACATTCATAGAATAATAAATAAAAATGAATCGAGTTTCTTACCCCATTTGCTTTACATTTTTACTAAGCCCCTAATATAGTCAACTTAAAATATTAAGAACTTTTTTAAAAACAAACTTCTTAGAATACATTCTTGCAAATATAGTCTAATATAACTTTTTAGCTAGTATTTGTAAATTTATTAAAATAAAATATAATTTGTTTACGTTTGGGTAAAAAGAAGTGCCAACTAAAAAACCAACTTAAACCCTTTATAAACATTGTTTCCTTAAAAATAGAAAATATTTTAAGCTTTTATAAAATTTTTTAATAATTTTGGCTCAGTTTAGAGAAAGATGAAAGTTTGCGGGAATGACCCAAGGTTCATTGACTAGTTGCCATCCCATTTCTTGCAGAGTTCCACAAATAAATCAAGCCAACAAAAAGAATGTGGGAAAAGGAAGAAGAGGGGATCATGCAGACAAGTGAAATGACAGCATCTCGTTGGGTACTTTGCTTTTCGATCAGAGGAATTTTGGGCGGGACGCGACTGTTAGTGGAGACGCCTGAAAGCATGCCACATAAATTATCCCAGCTTTTTAATAGCTTTTTTTGTGAAAGCTTTTCGCCCAAACATTGCCTACTTTTGGGGTGAGCTTGCGTTTGGAGGGAAACTCAATGCTTGCATATTTTCCAGTTCGTTTGTGACCTTGATCTATTGATATCCCTGTTTGTTTGTTTATTGCAGCTATCTGCCGTTTTCTATTCAACCACTTTGCGTATCTAAACTGAGGTGAGTTCTAAATGAAGTTGTATATAATTAAGTAGTATGTAGTAGTATATACGTATACTTAATATAGCGTATACTTAATGTGCCCGCTTAATGGCAGCCAGGTAACAAGGCAACAGGAACCGGGTTCAGGGAACCCCAGTGCGTCACAACTCGCACCTCGGTGACTTGTGAAAGAGGGCCAGTGCCAAAAATAGCCACTTCTCTCACTACTCTGTCCGATCCGAGCCCCTTGTTTAACAATTGTTTGGCTAGGCGGTACGACGACGACGACTACGACGGCCCAAGTGCTTCCCACAGCGCTCCATTCATAATATAATGCGCTGGGCAAACAAGTGAGTGTGCCCCGGACCCAAGATTCGAGATTCGAGGTTCGAGATGCGAGATTCAAAACCCGAGATCCAATATCAAAATCCGAAATGGCTTGAATGGGAGATGACGCGTCGAGCCGGAATGCTAGAGTACTAGAGACCTGGAGCTCTGGAGAGTTCGGAAAGCTAGAGCTTCTAAACACAAATGCAAATACAGAGCAACGGCACTCGGTGATTTACCCATCGCCAACGATCAAGCTGCCCAGCGTGTCTGTGGTCAGTTTGGCCCACTGCCAAGCGACAGGTGTCGACTATCTGGTACAAAACCTGGGTATTTCCACCCTGAGATTCTGAGTTCTGCATTTACATCACCGCCCGTTTCAGTCGGTCAAGGGTAGATGATCGCCATCGGCAGTAGGCAATTAGTCTGTAAATACTCTGATTCACTCACAATTAACTAGAACTAGGTACCAGAATCCGACCATAAATCAGTAAAATTATCTAGAAGCTTGTATTGAAGGAATTTATTATGTTAACCGGGAATTCCTTGTTGTTTTATAAAACATATATAAATTAAGTCGTAAGTTTCATAACATTAACTATAATAAATAAATAATAAATTTTAACTGAAAGTTGATTATTGAAACTTGTTCACCCTTATTTAAAACCAACCAACTCTTAGTTTTTTTTTAAGTGCAGAAAAAATGGATAGGGATGTATTTTTTTCTATACTGTTACTTTGAATAGCAACTTATGCTACAGTGGCACTTTAATTCAACAGTAGATGTACATCATTACATACTTATTTCTTAGCTAAGGTGAACAATCAACCAATAAAAATCTATCTATTGGTCAAAAGCCAAAGTACCTATAGCTGCTTTCCCCTTTCGTCTGTTAATAAATATATAAAACGTTTTGCAAACTAATCGTGCCAAATAATCTTTAAAGATTTTTGTGACACAGTGACCCAATCTTGATAATAATTCTGATTCATCGAAATTGTACAGAGTTTCCCCATGTTTTATTTGGTCATTTTCCGAGCGGAAGTAATACCCCTGAGCTTTCATAGCTTCTGAAAACTGATTTATTTATGGAGCTTTGCCTGAAATAAATAAATATAGAAGTCATAAACAAATCGTTTTGATAAAAAACTGTGACAGCGTCATCCGCTGTGGCGTGTGCCGTAAAAAGTTACGTATCCGCCGTATTTTTCTCAGCCGATAAGCGATATTTGCCATACATGGAAATTAGGATCCGTAGACTGGCTGGACCTCATTAGAGATCGCAAATGAATGCTGATAAGGCTGAGCGATATTTCCGTAACTGTAAGCCAGTGTAGTTTTTTCTAGTTATGATTTATTATTATTTATTTTTAAGGCCATAAAAAATTTAGTACGATGCACGTCACTGTGGAAGCATTCATCAATGGACGGTCATTTCTAAAAAGGGAAAGGCAAATAGGAACTGGGAGATAGCGGAACTTCCTCGGCGGATGACGCTGCAAATTTGCAAATTTGCAAATTGGCTATAGCTGAGATTTTTGTGCGTGGCCAGAGTTAGCACCTCCTCGAGTGCGATAATTAACAGTCAACAACAACAGTACTACAACTGCCTTAGTTGGTTGGGGTGAAATAAAAGCAAGTAACTCTGAATTCGGGCGGGGGAAAGAGTGAAAAGCCCTCGAATATTTTTCCCAAGCTCCAGTTCCATAAAAAAGCAACGGAAGTTCGTGCTCCCAGGAGGATCCATGTTAATAGGCTGTATTCATGATCAGCGTAAGCTAGGCAAAAACCCCGTCAGAACTTCAATGAGTAACTCCTTGGCCCTTGGGATTGTTAATGTGATGTGGGCAATGTGATGATGCATAGAAGAGACAATCTGTCTGGTGTCTCTTATACTGCTACTACTCCGACTGAAGTCCACATTGACCAAGCCAAGTCAAGTCCACATTGGCCAAGTCAAGTCGTTTCGATTCAGTGTTCGGTGCTCGCACGTGCCAAGCGATCGATCGGAAATGCCTACGGACCAACGCGTCACTTCCAAGGCAAGTGGCACTCAATCGCCCTAAAAATCGCAAGTTTAGTAAATAACACAGCAACCACAGTAACGTTGCAAAAACAGCAGCAGCAGGCAAACGAGAGATATTTGAAAATTCAACAAAGTAACAAAAGTAATAATGATTTCCATTGACATGAGCATCCTTCATAAAGATGCCTTGATGGGCCTTTAAACTCTTTTCGAAAATCCACAAAAGTGATTGCGATTCCTCGGTATTCCTAGATATCTCTGATATCTAGGTTCTAAAATCTTAATAATTATTGTACATATCACTTACAACGATGCCTTAATCGGTCTTTAAACTCTCCACAAAAGTGTATTTTTATAACAGATTCTTAATGGGTCTTCAAATATAGAATAATGTTGCTCCCTAGTGATTCAGTGATTTAGCCCTTTTAATTTCATTACCAAATGAATCGGTTTTATCTGCTAAAATTCAAAGAATCAAGGAAAAAGTGGCTAAGTGTTGCACGTAATAAATATGTTTTGAAGCTTTGAAGCAACATTTTAGATCAATCTGTAATTATAATAAAATACTTATAAAAAGTAGCTTAAAAGAAAGGGAATGTTTTGGGTTACTAATCAGCTTTATATACCAGTAAAAGACATGGCTTAAATTGCTTAGAACCAAATAAACCGCATTACATAGTGTAGGGTGCAAGAATTCAATGTGACATCCGTTTTGGGCCATGAAGCGTGTGTGCATAATTTACATATGGGCAACTCACTTTCTGCAAGACAGGAAGAAAACAAAACGTCATTGGCAAGTGCATTCCCTACTTCTATTAGTAAGCAGGGAATAGCGATTCCCAGTCTGAGTCAGAGTCGGCTACTTCTTGATCAATAGGCCATTCCAAAGATCAAGTCTCTGTGATTTTTTTTTTTTTTTTTTTTTTTTTTTATCGAATTTCAGTTAGCACGCGTCAAAATGGCTTGTCGTCATCGATCGTTCACTGATGCTGTTGCCGCTGTGGTTGTTGTTGTTGTTGTTGTTATTGTTGTTACCGCACTTGTCGTTGTGACTGCTGTTTTGTGTACCCACCACTCGCGTGTGTGTGCGTAAACCGTATAGCGTACAGCGTACAGAGTATAGAAAGAAAAAAAAAAGTAAGCTCGGCCACGCGCTGCGCCGCTCGTGCGGCTTCGGCTGCTGATAGCGCCGGATGGCGGTTCCTACTTAAGCAGCGGGAGTGTGCCCCAACTCCTCATTAACCGTAAGATCTCGCAGAGCAAAGACGCCAGCTCTTCAGCGCGCTAAGCTTCAGCTAAAATAACCAAAATCAAATCAAATAAACTCAAAAAGCCCCAATTTATAAACGAGTTTAAAATCGCGTTCGTGAGTGCTGATCAATAAGTAATAAGTCACATAAGTCTGAAAATGGCCACCAGTACAAATGCCATCATGGAGCCCTGCTTCTCGGAGCGTCTGCAGCAGAGTCCTGCGACAAAGTCCTGCTCCCAGCAACCCACCATCTCCTCCAGCCCACGGTGTAAGTGTCGAGTCCGCATCTCCGCAACTCTGAATCACGTCCGCAATAAAGCCGCTATATATCTGCCCGGTATCTTCGTTTATCCATATCTATATCTGTATCTATGTCTGTGTCACCGCTTGGCAAACAGGGAAGCGCGTCTAGCCTCAAATAAGTTTACGGCAAAAATCAAATGTGGAAGTGATATAAAGATTGGATTTCTATAGAAGGTCTATTTAGATCGAAAACTTTCAAAGCCTCTGCCTTTATTGTAATCTTAAATGCCTTACTACAATTCAATTCTTATTTTAAAAAACTAAGTTCTTTCTGTTAAGTTCATTTTTGACCTAGCCATCTACGATTTATTTGCGATATAAACAATTTTCTCTTTACTTTTACTCGGCCTAACTGATTTTCTATATTTTTTCTTACAGCTCCTGCCAAGTGCTGGCTCCTCGGTGTCCTGCTTCTACTCACAATTGCCGCCAGCTGGCCAACGGGGACATTCGCCGCACCGCGAAGGGCTCGAGGACTCTCACTGATCCTGCCGCATCGCCATCACCACCACCAGCAAGCGAGGTCCACACCTTCGGAGCCCCCAAGACACGAGCCCAATTTGATAACGAACAAGACTGAGGGCAGGCCCTTTTGCAAGGACATGAGTTACTCAGCGGAAAAGCGGTTGGAGCAACTCGAGTCGGCACGCCAAGTGGCCAGTAACACCAAGAAGGCCGTCATCTGCCTGACCAATGAATACGTAAGTGCATCCATCAATGGCTTGGGGGACACCAGATGTGCTAAGTTTTCTTTTCTTACCCATTCGCCAGTTGTCACAGTACGAACTTAACAAAACCATTGCCCAACGAATGCACAGTTTGCATTTTCACGATCTGAGCCTGGAGCATCCGCTGCAATCGGAGGTGAAAAAGGTTGCCTTCGACAAGCAAACGGAGGAGTTTTCCTACGCGGGCACTGTGGGCGATGTGACCAACGAGCTGCCCGCCATTATCGAGACCCTGCTCGTCTTGCAGAACCTCTTCGATCAGATTGAGTTTAAGCACCAAGTGTGGCACTGCTACTTCTATCACTTCATGGACTTCTTCAGGCACAACATCCAGGAAGCTCTGAATGTGACCAACACGGAGCAAACGTGCAATCCCAAGGATGTGCATTACAATAAGGGCCACTTGGACCTGCCGTTCGTCTCGGCCGTGGAGACCATTAAGGTGCTGACCATCGTGGAATACAAGTACGAGCAGCTGCTTAACCAGAGTTAAGTACACCAATCCACCGATCCGCTGGCCAAAAGCCACCGCAACAAGCCATACCAAAAATAATCGCCTCTAATGACCCACTGCAATCTCAAAACAATCGTATTTCGTAACCAGTTTCGAAGACCCTATTATTTATTATAACTTATTGACCCCAGCCCCCACACATCCATTCGTATTTATATCGCTTTCGCATCCTATTTATATACATATGTCCCCATACTCATGCAACGCATTCACCGCCTCGCAGGCTCGATAATTTATGAAAACTATAAATTAAGTGGATTTTTTTTATACTTTTATGTTATTACTATTAATAAATTATTATTTTATATAATGGAATCAGAGCTTTTTATATAATATATACAACACAACCACTTGTGAATCAAAGATATTAGTTGGGTTAATAAACAAAATACATTTTGAAAATCTTTAAAAACAAAAATCAAGAGTTTTGAAAAAACCACAGTTTCAAAATGTAAAATATTTTTCCCAAAGTAAAATAATTTATAGAGTCTATGGCGGAGTTCTAACACAACCAATGACTAAGGAATTAAATAAGCAATTATATTGGATAACTTTTATAGTATTTCCCAGTCAATATGGAATTTTGGGGCCCCAACCCAACATGTCAGTGGCACTCCCCCCCAATGGAAATACTGGGAAAATGTCTGAGAATTCCGTTTTCGGTCGAACTCGTCACCTGTGCCCTGACCCACCCCATCATCATCATCATCATGGGGCGTTTACGTTTATGGCTCGTGCCCGGGGCACGTTCCGCTAGATATACGAGGTTTCTCACTCGCTCACCGTGGGCTTGTGGGTTTTGAGAAAACCCCAAGTACCCCAATCTAATGGTTGGTGACTCATGGACCATTAAGCAAATGTCGGGCAATCGTCGCGTGATCTCTGCGTGTGGCAAAGATATAGGTATCTGTTCGTATCTATAGTATCTGTAATGTTTTTATCTTGGTTTTGGCAGGGGTATTGTGTTGCCTTCGAGGAGGGACAAATTTTACCGTTGCCACTTCGCTGGCTTCTCCTTTTTTATTTTTTATTTTTGGTTTTTTTTTTTTTTTGAAATTTCTTTTTTTTGTACGGTGTAATAGGATCTGATCGGTTAGAAGCGATCAAAGATGGGGCAACGCTTGGCTGTTCAAGTTTCGCGTGGCAATGGCGTCAGTCCCCCAAAAACCGGCGTAGCTGTAAATTCCCAGCTAGCTGCGTTGCGTTGAGTCAGCGGCAGAGCATTTTGCTCAGCTGCAGCGGATTTTATGAATGAAAATTCACTCCACTTCATTTCATTCCGTTTCCAATCGAGACAACCTGTTCACCGTTCTCGCTCTCACTCTCTTTCTCTCTGGCACACTGACAACCTGTTGCCCACTGCTCTTTTACTCTTTCACTCGAGTGTACCGCCGCCGCTCCCTCTCTCTCTCGCTGGCGCTTCTCTCTATCTTTTTCTCTGAGCCTCTTGGGCTCACAATGCCATTGGCCAAGCGGCTTCGTGGTCGCTCGTCTTCGGAGTGACTCTCAGCGGGCGGTGTGCCAATCAGCGGCCTCTCCGATGGAGCTTTGCCACACAAGCGCTGAGTCAGGCACGCCCCCCTCCCCCGCAAAGCCGGTCTAGATTTAAATAAAAGGTGCAGAACAACGGAACATTTCAACGTACAAATTAAATGAGTCCCTTTTTGGTTTTTGGTTTCCATTGCTTTGACCAAGATTTTAAACTTAACTGGCGCCCAACGCAATACATGTAGCAGGATTGCTACGTATTGTATGTATATTAACTGTAAATCATGGCGCGGTTGCGAATCAGAGTTGTTGCTTGCTCTCTGTTCTGGTTCTCTCTCTCTTGCGCTCTCATCGCTCTCATTCCTCTCTCAGCGAGTTTTGCGGGTTGAAGCGGATCGCGGGTTGCGAGCAGAGTTAGTCAAATGCCAGCAGTGATCGCGAGTGTAATTAAAACAAATACAAACTGTAAATTAATCGCTTTGTAGGTGTTTTAATTCAGGAAGATATTCATATCCCTACAATATCAGAAGTGAGCTGATCTCGAGCCAATTAAATAAAATCAATAGAAAAATGGATATTTTTAATGCATCAATTGCACAATTAAAGAGGTAACTGAGAGTTAAAGTTATCAACCAACGGTTGAACAAAATTCCATTGGAAACGCGCACTTACTTGAAATCAGCTATACAACAAAACGAAGACGACGATGAAAATAACAGCGAAGACGAAAATGAGGACGAGTTTGAAGTTGATGATTGCTAAGAAGCGACGGAGGCAAAAAGAACAGCAAAGACGGAGGCGAAAATAACGGAAAAAACGGTGGCGACAGAAACGGCGAGGACGAAGGCGAAAATAACGGCGAAGACGAAGACAACGTAGAAGAAAGTTATGTTTCAAACCCATTGTGTACCATAGACATGTACCTTATGTACCATAGACATGAACCTTATCACAGTCGTGTCTTAAATTTCTGGCTTCCATACAAAGCTATTTGGATTGGCACGCATGGAAAATCTATTTGCTGTCATTTCTCTTTGGAAAAACATTAAATAGATCATTTGCATAGAACAAGCTCATGGAAGATTTCCAAGTTTTCATTTGCATAGAACAAGTTTTCCAAGTTTTTTTTTGTCAGAATATAAAGCAGTCTATATAAGCCTTAGCGATCCGTGAGAACTTTAAAAACAATGGAGTTGGTGTATAGGGCAGATTTTTTGGTGTTTGTGGGCAGTATTTATGTTTTGCAATTGCAATTGTGTTTTCATTAGTCATGTGAAATCAGCACACATCGCAGGGAAAGAGAGAGTAAAGCTTAACGGGGGGATTCTGGAATATTTTAGCCGTTTAAACGAGATTTTGATTTAACAATTATGATTACTATGATAGCTCCCAGAAAGTTACTTTAATAAAAGTTGTATGTTACTTCGATACTTCCCTTTCCCATCAGAGGAATTTTGGGCGGGACGCGACTGTTAGTGGAGGCGCCTGAAAGCAGGCCACATAATATTATCCCAGCTTTTTAATAGCTTTTTTTGTGAAAGCTTTTCGCCCAAACATTGCCTACTTTTGGGGTAAGCTTGCGTTTGGAGGGAAACTCAATACTTGCATATTTTCCAGTTCGTTTGTGACCTTGATCTATTGGTATCCCTTTTTGTGTATTTATTGCAGCTCTCTGCCGTTTTCTATTCAACCACTTTGCGTATCTAAACTGAGGTGAGTTCTTAATGAAGTTGTATATGATTAAGTAGTATGTAGTAGTATATACGTATACTTAATATAGCGTATACTTAATGTGCCCGCCTCTTGGCAGCCAGGTAACAAGGCAACAGGAACCGGGTTCAGGGAACTCGCACCTCGGTGACTTGTGAAAGAGGGCCAGTGCCAAAAATAGCCACTTCTCTCACTACTCTGTCCGATCCGAGCCCCTTGTTTAACAATTGTTAAACAAGTGCTTCCCACAGCGCTCCATTCATAATATAATGCGCTGGGCAAACAAGTGAGTGTGCCCCGGACCTCAGATTCGAGATTCGAGATGTGAGGTTCGAGATGCGAAATTCAAAACCCAAGATCCAAAATCAAAGTCCGAAATGGCCTGAATGGGAGATGACGCGTCGAGCCGGAATTACAAACTTATTTCTTAGCTAAAGTAAACAACAAACTCAGAGCAAATTTAATCCAAAACATAAATTAAAATCTTCAAATTGGCCAAAAACCAAAGTAGCTATGGTGGCTTTTCCAATGCCATTTAGCTTTCATAACTTCTTATTTATGGAACTTTGCTTGAAATAAATAAATATAGAAGTCACGAACAAATCGTTTTGATAAAAAACTGTGGCAGCGTCATCCGCTGTCGCGTGTGCCGTAAAAAACTACGTATCCGACGTATTTTTCTCAGCCGATAAGCAATATTTGCCATACATGGTAATGAGGATCCGCAGACTGGCTGGACCTCATTAGCGATCGCAAATGAATGCTGATAAGGCTGAGCGATATTTCCGTCACTGTAACCCAGTGTATTTTTTTTTTGTTTTGATTTATTATTATGTATTTTTAAGGCCACACGTCACTGTGGAAGCACTCATCAATGGACGCTCATTTCTAAATAGGGAAAGGCAAATAGGAACTGGGAGATAGCGGAACTTCCTCGGCGGATGACGCTGCAAATTTGCAAATTGGCTATAGCTGAGATTTTTGTGCGTGGCCAGAGTTAGCACCTCCTCGAGTGCGATAATTAACAGTCAACAACAACAGTACTACAACTGCCTTAGTTGGTTGGGGTGAAATAAAAGCAAGTAACTCTGAATTCGGGCGGGGGAAAGAGTGAAAAGCCCTCGAATATTTTTCCCAAGCTCCAGTTCCATAAAAAAGCAATTGGGTAAAAACTGAATCGTGGAATTCGCAACGGAAGTTCGTGCTCCCAGGAGGATCCATGTTAATAGGCTGCATTCACGATCTGCGTTAGTTTGGCGAAAACCCCGTCAGAACTTCAATGAGTAACTCCTTGGCCCTTGGGATTGTTAATGTGATGTGGGCGATGTGATGTGATCGGCATAGAAGAGACAATCTGTCTGGTGTCTCTTATACTGCTACTACTCCGACTGAAGTCCACATTGGCCAAGCCAAGTCAAGTCGTTTCCATTCAGTGTTCGGTGCGCGCACGTGCCAAGCGTTCGATCGGAAATGCCTACGGACCAACGCGTCACTTCCAAGGCAAGTGGCACTCAATCGCCCTAAAAATTTTAAAATATTTAAAAATTCAACAAAGTAAACGCAACTCTTTGATTTCCATTGAAAAGAGCATCCTTCATAAAGATGCCTTGATGGATTCTTAATGGGTCTTCAAATATAGAATAATGTTGCTCCCCAGTGATTCAGAATCTTCGGATCTTGAGCCCTTGTAATTTCATTACCAAATGAAACGGCTTTATCTGATAAAATTCCAAGAATCAAGGGGAAAAGTGGCTAAGAGTTGCACGTAATAAATATGTTTTGAAGCTTTAAAGCAACATTTTAGATCAATCTGTAATTATAATAAAATACTTATAAAAAGTAGCTTAAAAGAAAGGGAATGTTTTGCGTTACTAATCAGCTTTATATGCCAGTAAAAGACATGTCTTAAATTGCTTAGAACCAAATAAACCCCATTACATAGTGTAGGGTGCAAGAATTCAATGTGACATCCGTTTTGGGCCATGAAGCGTGTGTGCATAATTTACATATGGGCGGGCAACTCACTTTCTGCAAGACAGGAAGAAAACAAAACGTCATTGGCAAGTGCATTCCCTACTTCTATTAGTAAGCAGGGAATAGCGATTCCCAGTCTGAGTCAGAGTCGGCTACTTCTTGATCAATAGGCCATTCCAAAGATCAAGTCTCTGTGATTTTTTTTTTTTTTTTTTTTTTTTTTTTATCGAATTTCAGGCGTCAAAATGGCTTGTCGTCATCGATCGTTCACTGATGCTGTTGCCGCTGTGGTTGTTGTTGTTGTTGTTGTTGTTGTTGTTGTTACCGCACTTGTCGTTGTGGCTGCTGTTTTGTGTACCCACCACTCGCGTGTGTGTGCGTAAACCGTATAGCGTACAGCGTACAGAGTATAGAAAAAAAAAAAAGTAAGCTCGGCCACGCGCTGCGCCGCTCGTGCGGCTTCGGCTGCTGATATCGCCGGATGGCGGTTTCTATTTAAGCAGCGGGAGTGTGCCCCAACTCCTCATTAACCGTAAGATCTCGCAGAGCAAAGACGCCAGCTCTTGAGTGCGCTAAGCTTCAGCTAAAATAAACCAAAATTAAATTAAATCAAATCAAATAAACTCAAAAAGCCCCAATTTATAAACGAGTTTGAAATCGTCATAAGTCTGAAAATGGCCACCAGTACAATTGCCATCATGGAGCCCTGCTTCTCGGAGCGTCTGCAGCAGAGTCCTGCGACAAAGTCCTGCTCCCAGCAACCCACCATCTCCTCCAGCCCACGGTGTAAGTGTCTGCCCGGTATCTTCGTTTATCCATATCTATATCTGTGTCACCGCTTGGCAAACAGGGAAGCGCGTATAGCCTCAAATAAGTTTACGGCAAACAGAAACTACCAAATAAAATGTGGAAGTGATATAATGATTGGATTTCTATAGACGGTTTATTTAAGTGCTGTACTAGATCAAAAACTATCAAAGCCTCTGCCTTTATTGTGATCTTAAATGCAGTTTTTAATTGTAACAATTGCCTTGTTACAATTCATTCTTGTTTTAAAAACTAAGTTATTTCTGTTGAGTTTATTTTTGACCTAGTAATCTGAGATATATATGATTTTCTTTTTACTTTTACTCGGCCTTACTGACTTACTATATTTCTCTTACAGCTCCTGCCAAGTGCTGGCTCCTCGGTGTCCTGCTGCTACTCACAATTGCCGCCAGCTGGCCAACGGAAACATTCGCCGCACCGCAAAGGGCTCGGGGACTCTCACTGGGGTGTACAACTTCGGGGCCCTTAAGCCACAAGCCCAATTTGATAACGAACAAGACTGAGGGCATGCCCTTTTGCAAGGACATAAATTACTCAGCGGAAAAGCGGTTGGAGCAACTCGAGTCGGCACGCCAACTGGCCAGTAACACCAAGAAGGCCGTCATCTGCTTGACCAATGAATACGTAAGTGCATCCATCAATGGCTTATGGGACACCAGATGTGCTAAGTTTTCTCTTACCCATTCACCAGTTGTCACAGTACGAACTTAACATGACCCTTGCCCAAAAAATGGAAAGTTTAAATGTACTTAAACTGAGACTGGAGCATCCGCTGCAATCGGAGGTGAAAAAGGTTGCCTTCAACAAGCAAACGGAGAAGTTTTCCTACACGGGCACTGTGGGCGATGTCACCAACGAGCTGCCCGCCATTATCGAGACCCTGCTCGTCTTGCAGAACCTCTTCGATCAGATTGAGTTTAAGCACCAAGTGTGGCACTGCTACTTCTATCGCTTCATGGACTTCTCCAGGGATAACATCCATAAAGCCCTGAATGTGACCAACACGAAGAAAGCGTGCAATCCCAGGGATGCGAATTACAATAAGAATCTCTTGCACCTTCCGTTCGCCTCGGCCGTGGAGACCATTAAGGTGCTGACCGTCATGGAATACAAGTACGAGCAGCTGCTTAACCAGAGTTAAGTACACTAATCCACCGATCCGCTGGCCAAAAGCCACCGCAACAAGCCATACCAAAAATAATCGCCCATAATGACCCACTGCAATCTCAAAACACTCGTATTTCGTATCCAGTTTATTATAACTTATTCGTATTTATATCGCTTTCTTATTCTATTTATATACATATGTATGTCCCCATACCCATGCAACGCATTCACCGCCTCGCAGGCTCGATAATTTATAAAAACTATAAGTTAAGTTTATTTTTTGTATGCTATTATGTTATTATTAATTAATAAATTATAACGATTAAGCGCAATTTTTAAAATGGATTTAAATGGAATCAGGGCTTTTTAAAATATATATGTATAACACAATAAATTGCGAATCAAAGATGTTTAAATGGTTTTCCACAAACATACAATTTTTAAAAACAAAAAGCAACAGTTTCTAAATATTGTCATGAGTATGAATGTGTTTATACATATTTAGCATGTTTATGTCTATTCCCTAACCAGAGTTTCAAAATGTAAAATATTTTTCCCAAAGTAAAATCATTTTACAAAGTCTATGGTGGAGTTCTAACACAACCAATGACTAAAAATTCCATTTTCGGTCGGACTCGTCACCCTGACCCACCCCATCATCATCATCATCATGGGGCGTTTACGTTTATAGCTCGTGCCCGGGGCACGTTCCGCTGGATATACGAGGTTTTTCACTCGCTCGCCGTGGGCTTGTGGGTTTTGAGAAAACCCCAAGTACCCCAATCTAATGGTTGGTGACTCATGGACCATTAAGCAAATGTCGGGCAATCGTCGCGTGATCTCTGCGTGTGGCAAAGATATAGGTATCTGTTCGTATCTATAGTATCTGTAATGTTTTTATCTTGGTTTTGGCAGGGGTATTGTGTTGCCTTCGAGGAGGGACAAATTTTACCGTTGCCACTTCGCTGGCTTCTCCGTTTTTATTCTTTAATTTTTTTTATTTTTTAGTAGGGTGTAATAGGATCTGATCGGTTAGAAGCGATCAAAGATGGGGCTGTTCAAGTTTCGCGTGGCAATGGCGTCAGTCCCCAAAAAACCTGCGTAGCTGTAAATTCCCAGCTAGCTGCGCCGCGTTGAGTCAGCGGCAGAGCATTTTGCTCAGCTGCAGCGGATTTTATGAATGAAAATTCACTCCACTTCATTTCATTCCGTTTCCAATCGAGACAACCTGTTCACCGTTCTCGCTCTCACTCTCTTTCTCTCTGGCAAACTGACAAACTGACAACCTGTTGCCCACTGCTCTTTTACTCTTTCACTCTTTCACTCGAGTGTACCGTCGCCGCTCCCTCTCTCTCTCGCTGGCGCTTCTCTCTATCTTTCTCTCGGAGCCTCTTGGGCACACAATGCCATTGGCCAAACGGCTTCGTGGTCGCTCGTCTTCGGAGTGACTCTCAGCGGGCGGTGTGCCAATCAGCGGCCTCTCCGATGGAGCTGTGCCACCCACACAAGCGCTGGGTCAGGCACGCCCCCCTCCCCCCGCAAGCCGGTGTAGATTTAATTAAAAGGTGCAGAACAACGGGACATTTCAACGTGCAAATTAAATGAGTCCCTTTTTGGTTTCCATTGCTTTGACCAAGATTTTTAATTAAGCTCACCACGCAAAGGCATAATATTTAGAAAAGGTGTTATTGATAGGAGTAAAGGAAACATGTCTGCTTTTAAAAAGGATATATATTCCTGGGTCATTTTCTGTTTGTTTAGTTATACACTTACTCGTCTCATAGATTTAAGGCAATTTGTATAGAAAACTGTAGTATACATCTTATTTTGTTTATTTTATGAAATCTTGAAGAGCGCAGACTCTAAAACAATTTTTTTTTTTTGGATAAAATTCTTAAAATATATTGGTCTAAATTAAGAAAGCCATACCTTGTTAAAATGGTCATTAAATTTCCAACCGATTTGCATTCACAGTTAAAAAATTTTGAATAAAATTTCGCAAAAATAACATGTTGTAACTAAACCGTTATGAAAAATGCGAAATATGTTTTTTTAAAGTTAAAGTTTGGGTTATAGGCTTCATAAAATAGTCAGTCTTTAGTCTGTGCGTCTTATTTTGACCAAGTTACATAAAGTGTTCTTATTTTTTTAATGAAGAATTCAAAAATTTGGTCAAACATTTTTTTCGAAATCGATCAGTTGCATTCCCTGCCATTTGCTTATCTAATCATATCATTCCAAGGCTGTGTGGTAAAAACAAAAGCAAGAATAAAGAATAAGACAAACCTATAACTTAATTTAACCCTTAATTAACCCTTTACCGAACCTATAATTTAATTGTTAGCTCATCCTTGTTTGGGCCATGCCAATGTTCGATTTCACTTCAAAGGTGTAGAACCGACTGAAGATTTCCTCAATCAAACCCAACCGTACGAGATTAAGGTCCATGGCGAATGCCAATTGCAACGGCAATTCAGGATCGGACGAGCGGCGGAAACAAATAAAGACATAAACAAACAAACAAACAAACAAACGAGCAAATCGACTAACTAACCGTTTAAGTTACCGTTTCGGATGTGAGAATTGCCATTGGAGATCTTGATAAAGCGAGCGATTTTACGCATAATCAAAAAACATCAAAACAACTGGGCCCCGAACGAGAACGAGAAACTCACACCTCCTTCTACGATTACACCTCCTCAAAATAAAGGAGGGTTCGCTAGGTAGGCGGATCGGATCGGATCGGGTCCTGCCAAAGGGCCAAAGGGACAGGAGCTAAGCAGCGTGTAATGACGGATGGTTCTCCTCTGTATCCGTATCTCTGTATCTGTATCTGCATTTGTATCTGTTGCTGTTGCTGTTACTGTTGCTGTTTCTGTTGGTTAACCTTCCTGCTCGAGGTCGAGGCGAGGTGTTCGCTGTGGCAATTAAAGCGTATCCTTAGCATTCGCTACGCCGCTAAAAAATTACACCATGACAGGACACAATGTATACAATGCCAAAAGGCCGACAGGACCTCACAGGACAGCTCAATTTTGTAGCAAAATATTTTTGTTGTCCAGAACGAATCGCAAGTAAAACAGAAAGTCGGCAAAGGAGTCACAAGCGGGGGAGTGGGTAGGGGTAGGGGTTAGGGAGTAGGGGGTTGTGCCTCCCGCGGGGCATTCTGTGTGTGTGTGTACCGACAGCAGCAGCAGGAGCTCATCAATGCAATAATCGTGTCCATCTAGGGTATATCTCTATATATTTATCCAAATACCCGCTAGATGAAGTTGTTGCTCCGGGTGCGAATTGTCTGGGATTCGATGTGTGTTTGTTTTTATGTGATTTTTTGTTGAGCCGACTTGCCGCCCGTTTCCCAAAGGAGGCACAAAAGGTGTGTTGCTGCCACCTTGATATATGTGCGTGTCCCTCTCCGTGGGTTGTGGGTCCTCCGACGAGTCCTGTGAGTCCTCTGAGTCCTGTGAGTCCTGTGAGTCCTGCCCCGCGGCAAAATCAAGGCGAGTGGCCCCGCTGCGCGACACGACTGCTTCCTGCAGCAGTTGTTGCTGTTGCTGTTGCAGTTGCTGTTGCTGCACTTACGGTTAGACGCAAGGACCAACTGTCCGTTGTCCTTTGGTTTTTGGTCCTTGCTATCTGGCCATCTACAGCTGTTTTGGGCTGCCGAAACAATGCGGCCATAATTTCGTATGCGCTGCCCACAAAAACAAATGCGGCGCAACTCTCGATTTAATTAGCCCGTCAATTGTGCAAGCCATCGGAAAATGAAAATGAAAAGGGCAAAAAGGGGAGGCCTAGGTACCGGGAGTCGGGAATCTGGAGTACCTGGCCCACTGGGCGGACGCCTATAAAGGTTTTACAGACAGAGATGATTTGCAACAGTCCAAATTCAAATATCCTACCAGTAAATTCTAAAAAAAAATAAAACTAAAGTTTTTCAAAATAAATAAAACAATTAAAACACATCTTATATTATGTAAATTTTACTAAGGCATAAGTACATAAGTAGAATTGGAACTGGAATTCGATATTTTCTTATTATCAAAATTTATAGAAATTTTTCTAAAGAAAATTAAGTAATTGAAAATTATAGCCTAAAGGCAAAGGTAAGGTATACTGTTTATTGGTCTTAAATATGGTCTTTTTAATTCAAGCAGTAATATTCAAATGGATTTAAAAATGCACAACTAATTGTTATGCATATATTCATTTGCAATAAACATTTAACCAATTGAGCAGAGATTTAACCTGCATAAAATATTATATTGATAAGAATTTGTAAAATGCATTTACATATATGGAAAATTTTGTGTGCTCAGCCAATAAACATTCAACCAATTTTATATGTGGATTATTTTGGAACAGATATTTAACATGTCTTAGCGAAATGTGACGTTGTCTTGGTAAAATATTATATTAATAAGAATTTATAGAATGCATTTAAGTGGCATAAACAATTGGTTGCTCAGGATATATTATTATATTTTTGTGGATCGGTTTCGGTTTTGAAAATATATTTTACATGAATTAGCGAATGTGTTGGCAAATTCTGTACTGAGGAGAATTTAATTTAATTTATTTTTGTGTGGAAAATGCACACTTAATTAAATTTCAACTTATTTAACAACCTTTGAGTAAGCGATATTTGGCTTATGCTGGTAGAATTGTGTATTTACAAAAATAGATTAAATTTATGTGAAGAAAATTCACAATTGGTTATATATCAACCTAATTCTCTGTGTGGATAGTTCTCGAAGAGATATTTTACCTGGATTAGCGAAAATGTGGTGTTTTGTTGGTCATTTCCGTTGATGGCTTTCTGGTCTCAGGACTTTTTCGGAGGGGTGAGCCCATGCCCGGGCCCATGCTCAAGGTCAGCGTGAGAGTGAGAGGGGAAGAGGGAAAACCTGGTTACCAAGCGGTAAGAACGGGACAGAGCCAGGTAGGCAGCGCCTTTTTGGGGCACCAGGTAGCCTCTCTCACTCCTCAGCTCGCTCACTCTCTCTCTCTCCATCTCCATCTGTATCTCCATCTAGCTCTCCCGCTCTCGCTTTGAGTGAGTGGCGCCGATTGGGCCAGCGGTAAATGTGAGTCGCAATGGCGACCAGGCCGCAGCCCTGGCTGGCCTGAAGGAGCAAGAGGGATGGCGAGAGGACAGCCGGTTGGCAGGCTGTGCAGGCTGGCAGGCTGGTAGGCTGGTAGGCAAGGCTCTCCAGGTAGGTAAACGAATATACGTTCGCAGGTGGCCCAGAGGATATATGATCGGCGGGAGCGGGACAGCCTGAGTTTGAGCCTTAGCCTGGCCTGCCGATCTTCGGATTCGGATTCGGATTCGGATCGTATCGGATCGTATCGTATCGGCGGTTTTCTTCTGGACCATGGCGTACCGCTCGGCAATCGTGGCAGCGGCTTCGGGCAGCGACGCCGGCAGAGACGGCCGCCGCTCAGCTCGCCTCAGTTTCCATTTCAGTTTCGGTTTCGGCCTTTTGGCGCTGCTCATCGGGTCGGTAAAACGCTCTGGCCTGCAGCCTCTCAGCGAAGAAAGCTGGTCAAATCCAGTGCGACTTTGGGTTCAGTTCGGTTTCACACTCGAACGCGAGCAGAAGTGTCCGCGAATCAGTCTCAAAAACATCTATAACCAAAGCCCAAAGAACGAACACACACACACACGCACAGTCTGGAAAACAGATCGTCAAGTGGCTCATAACTATATTTTTTTTTTTTTGCGAGTGTGGTGTTGCAAGTGCCGAAAAATCGAAAAAATAAAATTAAACGAATCTCGATCGCCAATTTGGATTAACATACACGGACGAAACACGCAAAATCATCGGGGATTCCGCGAGGATCCTGGCCGACTCTACTTTTCATCTATAATGCGGTGTGTGTATTATTTTTGATTTGATCAGAACTCAAGAGCAGACTCAATTGGAGAGTGGAGAAAGGATGCACCAAAGGATATATCAGCAAGACATCATTCTCCACTCTTTAACTGATTAATTGACGATCAACGATCTAGGGATTAATGCCAGCAACTGCAACATAAGAATTGAAGAACAATTATACAATAATTTAAATCGATTTATAGAAAGTTTGTCTGCTTTTATAGCTAAGAACAACTATATTTCACTATTTAAAGAATAGCGGAAAACGATCTTCAATTGCGCAGCTTGAGCAAGATTAAATAATCATAAAGTGTGCGTCACTTAAAAATTTCAAATTTCAAAATTTGCCAAAAATCCAAAATTAGACCTGTAGCCGTAGCCGTTCTTTTGCGCTTGAAGACACTTGAAGTAGTGAAATTTTCGCGATCAGAGATGTTCGCTTTGATCCTTTAGCATTCGCTCAGGCTACTCTCGAGTTAATTGTCTAAATTAACAAGTTTCGCCCGCCCCCACATACACATATATCGCCCTGGAAAAGACAAAAAACCAACGAAAAGCGAACAAAAAAAGCAGCAAAACCAAAGGCAGAGAAAATGTAAAAAAAAAAATAAGCGAACCAAATTGTCCAGACTGTTGTACGGTTGCAGTTGCAGCACTCGCATCGAATATCTGTCCCGTCACCACTGACCACGTATTAAGTATAACGTAGTAGCAGCAAGAACTCACCAGGAATCCATCAGGAAGGAGATTCGGATTCGGATTCGGATTCGGATTCAGATTCGTTGATCGTGATCGTTAATCGTCTCGCGTTGTTGCTCTGAAAATCAGCTTAGTTGATTGACTTTTGCATTCTCGATACTCATTGTGTGTCTATATTTCTTCCCTCCATCACCTACCTTTCTGCCCTTGTCCTCCCATTGTATGCCCTGTTTTGTCATCCTCGGACTTGGACACGGATCTGAGCAGTTGGTTGGCAGTGCGCTGCGACCAGAGCTAAAGGCAGCACCACGGCACCACCAGGCATCGGATACGTAAAGGGTAACGGAGGGGGGAACACAATCGCCAGCGGAAGTGAAAGCGTCGTCTACCATGCGATGGCTCCCGCCCGTCCGCTGCTCCTGCTCCTGCTCGCCCACCTTCTCCTCCTCCTCCTCCTGCCCCAGTTGGCGCATGGAAGGAGCACCACCAGCAGTGGTGGCCTCACCGTGATCACCACCGCCAGTACCGCTAGTACCGCCAGTACCGCCAGCAGCGCCAGTACCGCCACCACCTCCAGCCACTCCCCGCAGCCCCAAGCAATCGCGGCCATTTCAAGTCCGCGCAAGCGCCACCGGAAGCGGAACAGCAATTGGATCGACTATCGCAACTTTGATGAGAACACGACGGCCCTCGAATGGGCCAATCCCTGCGGGGGCAACTACCATCCCTCGGCGGGGGATCGATTCAATCGCCAGCGTCCCAGGCAGGTCAGTTGGCCAGACCCACATAGCCCTGCACTCAAATAAACGGGAGAGTGCCCTTTGACCCCATCTAACCAAATGTCGTTTTCTTTTCTTTTCTTTTCTTTCCATCCATCCCCCACAGAGCTTCAATCAGCTGAAGCGACACGCCTTCCGGGAGTACCGCAGCCTGAACAGCAGCCAGGATTCGGCCATCGACATCCGCAACATGACCATGTGGTCGCTACACACGCACAACTACAAGTTCCTCCCCAAACTCAAGCCCAATTCCACGGTAAGTTCGCAACAGAAGCTATAAATCCACAAATTTTTTGTTCTATATAATATGGCTACAAACCTTATTTCATTTTAAAAATGATCAAACTTCATCAGAGTATTTGCTATATTATTAAATTTAGTTCTGAAATACTTACTTTAGGGCTTCTTAGTTTATTAATATTTTCATTTTGTTTCATCTTGGTTTTAATTAAGTCAAACTTATAAAAAGGTTTAGATTTCTGGGTTTTTTATTTATTTATTATTAACATAAATGCTTTACTGAAACCTCAATTGTCAAATACATAAAGCTTTAGATTTCTTATGATGTGAACTATTTTAAAATTCTAGATTTTACTTAATTGACTTTATTTTCAAACATAAAAAAGGCTTAGATTTATTTATTTATTTATTTTTATTTATTTGTAGCTTACCAGTAAATTCTTTGAACACAATATGCAATTTTTGGCTATTACTTTTTAGCGAACTACTCAAAACCCCATTTTGTGCCCACTAACTTATCAACTGCAACTTTTTTTTTTATTTTGTTAACCAACAGATTGCCCTGAAGCGCTGGTACCGCAACATGCAAACGTACGTGGCCAGCTTCGCGTATCTGCGGCGGCAGCAGATCCGCTGGGATCAGCGGTCCATCACCCGCGAGTCGAGTACCGCCCGCGAGCTGCGCGAGCTGCTTTTGAGCTCGCGGCGCATCCTCTGCGAACTGGAGACGGCCGTCAATCAGACGCAGAGTCCGCGCCAGAAGCAGCGGCGCAGTGGTGGAGCGGCGGTGACGGCGGCTACGGCGGCGGCGTCGGTGGTGGTGGTGCCCTCAACTCCGCCGGTGGTGGCCATGGCCCATCTGCCGCAGATCTCGCGTCTCGAGATGAACAAGCGTTTGAAGCTGCGCTCCAAGGCGGTTGGTGGCTCCGATTCGGGTGGCTCCTCGCCTTTTCCAAAAGCATCCGCTTTGGCTGCTTCCATGGGCGAGGCGGACTCCATTGACATGCGGTTCGTGAAGCATCACTACTACGACTTCCTGCGCACCATGTACCAGCTGCTGCGGCGCGATGGCAAGCGCGTGAAGAGTCGTCCGCGGAAGCAGCACAAGAGCAAGAACAAGAAGCTCAAGAAGCAGCAAAGGAAGCAGGAGCTGGCAGAGCAACTGGCAGAGCAGCGCTGGCGGAGCTCGACCATGAACGGCAAGGAGTTCAACGAGGTGTCCAAGCCAGGTGCCGTTGGTATGGGAATGGGTATCCAATCTCCAACTGGCAGACGCGGCAAGCGACAGTCGAAACGCGTGCGGCGCACGTGAAACCTGCCTTCCCCCCCACCCCCTCCTCTCATCATATATACCCCTGTCCTGACCCCTTCCTAAACAAAAATGACCCCCCCCACCCCCCTTCTTAATTTAACCGTTTATCGATCTATCGTAGCTTAAGTAAATTATTTGATTGCCAGCACAGACTATTTTCCCGATTTTATTGAGAGTATTACAGACACACACACATTCCGTATTTATTGAAGCTGACGACAGAGGAGCCTAGTTATAGCGAACCCCTGTAAAACCCGCAAATGCAGTTGCCGTTCTAGTCACATAAGAGCAACCGCCAACCCACTGGAAAGTATTATTACCCCCCATTAACCACCAGCCACCCCATTGATTACTATGTGACCCCCTAATTAGTTAAGCCATCCCCTAGATTAAGACTAGATCCTAAGGCTCAAACCCTTTTTTTTCGTAGGCTTACTTGTGTTTGACATCTGTGATATAGTGCTTGACTAGTTCGTATTTAACCTAATTGTATATATAGCTTGGGGCTACTGCATCCATGCTTTCCTAGGCCTAAGCTTGCCCTTAGAAATCGATTTTCGTATTTATAGAACCGACCGATATATGACTAAGACAGCAGCGAAATAAAGCGAACAATAAAATGAATCAAATCTGAAAATAAATCGTGATTGTTTCGCATTAATGGGCAAAGGGCAAAATGTGCAAATTTATGCGAATACTTGCAATGGGTTACATATTTAATTGCGGCTTAAAATCTCGCCTACAATTTATTTTTATTACTTGTAGAGTTTCGTAAGAATTTCGAATCTAAATCTATATACATAGATTATAAGTATTAATTTTTTTAAAACGACAAAAAAATGTGTGTTTTATCTTTATTAAATGATTTGCCTTCAAAGATTATCCCTTTTAAGGCAATTATTTATTTATAGTCTTTAAAATAATCAATTGCTCTATGGAATAATGATGTTACTCAAAGAAAAGGTGATTAATTTAAATCGTGTCTTATTTTTAAAAGGCTCAAGTTTTAAGCGATCAGAAAATAGCGGATCCTTAAGTGATTTGCCTTCAAAGTTGCTTTAAAATGGTGAGTATTTTACATAATTCTAGAAAAAAATAAAAGGTAATTATAAGAGGTTAAGTAAACCATATCTTATTCATAAAAGTATATTGTTTTTTAAACGATCTCAAAATTGGTGTCTCATCTTAATTAAGTTGCCATCAAAGATGCTAATACTAATTTGTGTGATGTGCAATTTGTTGAAATGGTTAGTATTTTATATGGAAAATTGTTGTTAGCCAAACCAACAGTTAATTTATATGATTTGTTAATGTGGTTAATTTAAAGGCATTTCTTTAAGTGGCAATCCCACAGAGTGTGGCTTAAAGTATCGAGTGTTTCATTTGGCCAATAGTTGTATATCTCCTGGCCTCTTGGATTCACTTGACACACTTTCTGGGGACTTTGGCTGGCTGCCATTCCCCTTCGACGGCCCGTCTTTATGGCTCCTCCGTGGGTCATGGGTTTTATGATCTCCAGCGGCGTCAAACTATTAGCACGCCAGGCGCAGTTCCACCAGCGATCCACCGGCGATCCACCAGTGATCCCCACCTGTGCCTTTTACCTGGCCCAAAAGAGGGAGGGCCAACAGAAACCAATGAATGGACTGTAATCAATGGCACCACGTACTCAATGAAAGTTCGCGCCAAGTGCAGCACTATAAAGCTGATCACCAAGCCGATCATCATCATCATTCAGTGGCAAATCTGAGTGGATCTGTGGTGCTGGAATGCTGCGATAAGCTGATACTTATCCCCGGGGTTAACTAAAACACGGCTACACTTGTCTTGAGTCGTGTTGAGTCGGGCATCGGGAATCGGGAATCGAGTTGTATTTGGCAGGACGAGTAGCAAATCCTCGCTTTGTTTTAATGCGGATTTAGGCAAATTTACTTTTTAATGCCTTGGCTTATTGCCAAGCTTCGTTTAGGGCGCTTAGTGGCAACTTATGGCCAAGTCCAGCCGGATTATTAGCACTCAGCGAACGGAAGCAGAGTGTCCTTTAGTCTACTGTTTTGTGTGTTGGTATGGTATCCTGAAAGGACACTGTTGCCATTGCTGTTGACATGCAAATGGATTAGCACGAGACGCTGAACATTTCGGCATGCATTATAATGCCGACTAAGCCGTTTATTGATTGCAATCGATCGAAGGAAGTCCTCCAGACTCTAAGCCCGGTTCTCGAATTCGAGTTTTTCTAGCCATCGACCATCGACCATCGACCGAAGTCCAGTGTCAAGTGTCCCCGTTTTTGGCCTGCTTTCTGAGCCCTTTTGGGTAAGTAGGTGTTGTTATGTTTTTAGCTGTCATAAATATTGTAAAACTCGGTAAATATTTAAACAGCGTGCACAATAAAGGCAAATGCCAAAGAGGCTCGACAGACGGGTATCCCAATATCCCAATATCCCAATATCCCAACATTTCGGATTCGGACTCGAGTTCGGAGATTCTGGCTTTGTTTTTCTGGCCTGGTCATAACGGTGACTACCTGCTGCTGCTGCTGCTGCTGCCGCTGCTTCTGCTGCTTGTGAAATTTGAATATGTATGTGCCGCCGCTGCCGCCGCCTGGCCGAAAAAAGATTAACAACATTTAATAACCCATCATTGCGCCGTCCCGTTCCCACTCTCACACACACACACACACACACATGCATTGTGTCGACAATTTTGCAAGATAACTGCATTTGTGCAGTCCTTTGTGCCGGGCCACTTTTTGCCATTGTCCTGCCATTTTGCGCTCCTCTTTTTTTTTCTTTCTTGCGACCTCACAAATTCCCAATCTCTTTTTGTGTTTTTTATTGTCCTGCGGCACCTTCCAGGAATCCCGTCCTGCGGCGGCCTTCGACTGCCACAAAACTGCGTCCGCTCGTGAACGGACAGGATATCTGTGTATCTATTTGGCTATTTCCATTTCTATTCCCATACCTTTGGCAACTCAACGCTCAATCGAACCACTGACAAGTGGCAACTCAATTAGGGTATCGCCTAAAATTACATGGCTATGAGTGCTGTGATAAATCCAATCAACAGATTGGCTCCTGGGCATGGTAGTTTTTGATTGTTCAGCCTTTAAAGTACTACTTGAATCGTAAGATTGTCATATAAATAGGTCATTTACTAAGCCATATTTAGGTGTATTATGAAAATAAGCACTTAATACAATTAAAATTTTTAATTTTATTTTCTTAATTCTTGTCTCTCAAGCAATCTTTCTTTTATAAAAGATTTCCAAAGATGTGCTGAATTACATTTAATTTATATAATTAAACATTAGTGTTAATTTTTCTATTGCGAAATTCGTAATTTTCTAATTAATTTATAAGTAAAAATAAGTAATAGGACTAGGATACTAATAAAGTATACTAATCAAGGTATCATTTAAATTGAATTTAAAAACCAACAAACACTTAAGCATAATGTAAAACCAATAAAAATCATACAAGTCTGACATATACGCAACAATAAATAATCAATTGAATCTATTAATTACCGACCATTTCAATCTGCCTTTCAACGGCATTCCTAATTGATTCGTACAAATGTCAGTTGTACGACATTTGTCGCCTCCCATTTCCATAAACACGACTCTTAATTGAAGATTATTAAGCGCTTTCAATTCGTATGCCGACTGCACATCCATTTTTCAACATCGCCACTGGGATCGAACCCTCTACCCCCCGTAGTCAATCCTACGGGGGATCCCCCCCACCCACTATCAATTAGCCATGAGCCATGAGCCATCGCAATTGTAATTCGATTTGTTTACAAAACGATTCAATTAATTTGTCAAATTGGCCGCGTGATTTGCATTTCAAAGCGTTCGCATTTCAATATTTTTTATGTTTATTATTTTTATCGGCGCTGCCACTGCCGTTGTAGCTGTCGGTTTATTATTGTTGTTATTATACTCATTCAGAGGGTATTATGTTTTTCAGTAAAAACATTTCCGATTATGTAAAGTATGTATGTTTATTTTCAGGGGACCGACTAGTCTCTCTATTTTAAAAGTCGGAACAGGCCGGATCGAATGACTATATCATATAGCTACAATAAAAAGAAATCTGACAAAATAAATGAACAAAACTATGAAATGGATTTTATTTATTTTATTGTGATGGATTCAGAATTACGGTTTAATTTTTAATAAATCTACTATAAAGATATTATTGGGCTTCATTGTTAATACATTATTTTTGTTATTACATAAAGGGTATATAAACTTCGGCTTGCCAAAGTTTGCCTCCTTTTTTGTTATTATTATGATTTTTTACACTTGGTTATTATTTACGTTTGCATAGCCGGCCGGCTTGAGCCCGGGTTATTGTTGTTGTTATTGGTGGACGACTCGATGGCAATATTGACAAGCGGCCAGCGAATTTTTCCCCATATCATTTAAAGCCTCACAATTCACGCTGTTTGTTTACAAGCGCTTAAGCGCATATGGTTCTCCCGAAAAAGCGGTCGATGGATGTGAAAATGATGTTTTGACAACAGAAGCTAATGGCTTCAGAGCAGCCTCAACTGATTGTTATTAATAACAATACAAACATGTTATAATTGAAACCCAAGAATCGTAGGAATTTTAATTGTTAAAATATGAAGAAAATCAAACCTTAAGCATTATATGATTATTAAATGTATTTAAATATAATTAGCATAGTATGTAAGAGTAATAAGTTAATAAGTTATATGCCAATATATACAGTGTATTTTTAATTGTACTTCTCACACATGCGAAGTTCTATCTGGGGGTTCCAATGGAAGTCCCTAAATTGCGTCGTTTGCCCCGCTCCTAACGCTTTGCCAGCGAGTCTTAATTATATAATTTGTGCGCTTGTCTGGTTGGACATATCTTGTTTTTATTAGCATACATTTTAATGGCCATTTATGTAATCTCATAGAGTGCGGCCGCATAAATCTCGCCGGCGGGTTCTCAGACAGTTAAGACCCGGGGCTTGAAGTCTGGTCCCAGGCGGGCCTAAAAAAATAAAAAAAAATATATATATATGGAAAAAAAAAAGAAAAAATTTTGCGTATGACTTAATAAACATGTCGTTGAACTGTCGCCGGCAGCGCAGCTCTTTGCCTGCGGTTTATGGGCTTGCTAGGCTGTGGATTTTTATTTCATTTCATTTTTGAGCCAAGTTAAGTTGAGCACCTCGACAAACGCTTTTTAATTGTTTTAATTTTTTTCACTTTGCTGCTTACCCACTTCAACACCTCCCCCCCCCAAAAAAAAAAAAATACCCCCCTTCCATCCAACAACCCTGTGCACATTGAACTTGAGCCGACGACGGCAAAGAAATAAAAGCAGCTCAAAAGAGCGAACAGCGCAGCACAAAATTTTAATTACCATGAGTAATATTTTATTACACTTTGACACTGAAAGAAAACTTCACAAGAAGAGGTGAACCCAAGAACAAAGCGAACAAAAAACGAGAAACGACAAAAAAAAAAAGCAGTAGCCATAAACAAGTCGAATGGGAAATACCCTAATATCAGGCAATTCTCGGCCAGCAAAGGCAATCGATCAGATGGATGAGCTGTA